ACACACACACACATGTTTATATATTTATATTTATTTATAATTTACGCGTAAAATAAGAGGAATGATAGAACATTTGGAAAACATAAACGCCTCGTTGACAGCCCTCGCAAGCGTTTGACACGACCGAAAACGAAGGAGGAGACGAACGGGAAGAAGAAGAAAGAAGGGGACAAGCGAATGGCGAGAGCAACGGTTACAGCAGAATAAACCCCTCAATAATGAGTTCCGCGAGTGAATTCCCTCAGTGCGGAGAGAGGCTCGAGATAATAAAACAGAGCGGGACGCCGGCGGTGGTCGAGGGGAGGGGGGGGGAGGACGAAAGGGGGCCAGAAGGGTGGCGAGTGGGTGGCGGAGGGTATGGAGTGAGCGGGGACCGAGGGAGGTTTCCGCACTGGCAAGAGTAATAGTAAGAGGCAATAAAATATAATGAAATAACATCCAATCCAGGAGAGATATTGTGAAAATATTATTACTAACTTATTACTCGTTGGGCATGGCGTACCACGCTCTCGACCTTTTTCTCCATTTTTCCCTGCCTTGCTCCCTCCCTCCCCCCTTTCCGCCAGTCTTCATTCCCCACCTCCTTCTGCTCTCGACAAATATATACAGGGTGCGCCTGAAAAGGTGGAAAGCTCTCGATAGTACCGTTTGCGAGGGACTTTTGCTTGGCAAAAATTTGAGCGGCTTTTTCCAATTTCTAATGTCGAGTATCCCGAAAATTGATGAACGTTGAATTCTTTTTTCGAACGAGAGTTAGAGTGAGTAGAGATTAACTGTAAAATATACGATTTCTCGTGTATTTATATTCTCTCGCGTACAGGTCTAATTCGATAAAAAATTATAAGTTCCAACATTAAATGATTCATTGTGCAAACTGCGTAATTGTACTATATATATTATCGTACATTAACGCGTTACACGTTTAAATATTAAGTCAAGTAGTATATAAATCCGAAAATTTACCCGAAAGATAAGAAAAAGTAAATTTCAATAATAGAAAAATGATAGGTTTTTTTTTTTAAGAAGATAGCTATTTGTAGTTACCGTGAAAAAATGTCACGAAGATAATAGATACTTCTCGGTAGTATTTTCTGTTTTGTCTCAAAATTGGCTTTTTCTTAATCAGTTTTACATACGTGATCGAACCATTTTTAGTCGAAAAATTTCTGCTCCTTTTAAGCGCACCCTGTATAACCCCTTCGTTCCGTCTTTCCGCGCTCTTCTTTCTCTCCGTTCGTTTCGTGGTCGCCAGAGACGCGATAAAATTTTTCTCCCTTATCGTCCTTATCGAGCCCCAATAAAACCCGGTGGCGAAAGATTGGCGGTCGTCGGTCGGACACTCGGACGAAGCGTGAATCGTTTTTGCGAAAAATGCGCCGTGTCACCAAGTCGCAGACGTCGCGATGCAGATTTCCGCGGCTCGTTATTTTAAATTAACGCGAGCGTGTTCCGTACTTAAATTATATCAGGGCTGGATCCCAGAAGATTCTCGAGAGGTCGGTCGCCGACGTTAAAAATTAAGTATCTAAGGAAAGCGAGTTTCCGTTATAATAATTTTGTTGTAATAATCATTTATATTCATGAGAAGATACTTTCCATTTTTAGAGAGAAAAAGTAACCGTAACGCGCTCTCTCCCTCCCTCCCACCCTCCCTCTCTCCTCGGAAATTAATTAATTATAAGACCCACGGACCTCTTTTCCTCATCTTCGGATGCCACGACGTGTGTTGCGGTACAAAGTGCAACGTTCCCGCGTTCCGCGCTGCGCCTATCGCCGCTAGCCTAATCGCCCGGTATCGCCGTCGAAATTATTCCCTTTTAGCGTTGTTAGCTCGGTACGCTCGCGATTCGCGATCGATCCCCGAGTCCGTCCGGCTCTCTCGCATTTGAAATGCAAAGTGCGCGGCCGAGCATTATCTTCCAGGGAAAAGACCATGGACGAATAAAGAGAGAGACAGAGAGAGAGAGAGAGGGGGGGGGGAAGGGGAGAGAAGGAGAGGAGACGCGAGCGCGAGGAGAGGAGGGAAAAAAAGAAAGAAACGCAGAGAAAAAGGCAGAAAGAAAAGATTATCGTGAAGCGAGATATCCAGGGGAGGGGGGATCGCGCGCGCGGTGACGAAAGATGGTTATATAAAACGCGGTTAGGAAGAGGAGAGACGCAGGGTAAGCGGAGTGGCATGCAACAATCCTATCTGACCGTGTAAATCTCCGGGCGTCGTAACGAAGCGGCAAATCGAAACTAAACGGTAGCCCATGAATGGGAAATTAGAAAATAACGTTACGCCGGCACGAGGTCGCGCGCGCTTCCGGCCGGGACACCCTGTGCACGCACGTGCATAACGCTTGTATGTGTGTGTGTGTGTGTGTGTGTGTGTGTGTGTGTGTGTGACGCGCGCCCGCGCGCGCTAGTCGTCTCACGCATTGTAGCTGCCGTAATGCGCATTATTATCTCGTAAGCGAAATCTGGTTACGAAGTCTTTTTATTAAGGATTTAATTGATCGACGACGCTTAAAACGCGCTCGGCCGCCGTCTCCGTTCATGCGTTTCGCGCTGCTTTCCATCCTCCCACCTCTTATCTTTTCTTTTTTCTTCTCTCTCTCTCTCTCTCTCTCTTCTT